TATAGGCAAAAGTTTAGTGTTACTGGGTCCTCAAAACGCAAAAAAACGCAAATGTCGAGATTTGGCGTTCTATGATGCCGATATTTTCAAACTTTTTTAACTCGATTTACGCTAATCCCACGTATGGATCATTCATTTGAAAAGGGTTCCAGCTTATGCGAACAAAGTCGATGTAAACGTGGTACGGACTCCATGGAAATACCCCATTTCTACATGGATGATGTTAGTAAAAAAAATTAGGCATAAAAAACCAACTAAGCTAGTTAAATTCTACTCTCAACGTAGCGCTCATTGTAATGCAGTATAGGCAATGCCATTGGAAAGCCTGAAGACAAATCTGTCACAGGTATACATCCATCCCTCCGACAACTGAGCGAAAGATGAAATGACTAAAGAAGAACGTGATATCTTCAATCACACACGTGTCTGTCGTATAAGTCATATACAGAAATCCCAAGTATGGATCATTCATTTGAAAAGGGTTCCAGCTTATGCGAACAATGTTGTGTATATCGTGGTACGGACTCCATGGAAACACTCAATGGTAGTTATTGAGAACCAGTCGAAATTTATAAAAGAAAGAGAAAAAAGAATCCTTGTAATTGAATGTATCCATCCCATGCAAGTGGCATGCCTGTATGGACTGTATGTACAGCACACGTTCGTGAACAGAAATTGGTCTTGGATAAGACAAGTTTTTTCTTGATAAAACTAAAAGGGTTTTTTTATCATTCTGTCCAATAATAGAATTCTCTATATTCTCAAAATATAGGAATGTGTTCTACTCGACTGAATGTCGTTCACTCTTATACTAAAAAGCGATCTTACTCTATCTCAGCGTTCTCCAGTTTATTTTAGCCATGGAACTCTTTCATAAAATTTAAAACTTTGCGGAACCCCAGTAGTATTTTGACATAATATTTGACAAAAATTATTTAAGATAAAATAAAATAAATTTATTATTTGATAAAAATTTTTTTTACGTGATGTTTTTATCTTCTTATTTTTTTCTGGCGGAACCCTTGGTTTCACTTCACGAAACCCCATTTGGGAAACGCTGCTCTATCTTAAAGAAGTACTTTTAGACATTTGCATGAAAGGTATAACGATAAGTTGTTTATTGATAATGTATACAAATGAAAAGAGAAAGAGAAAAGAAATAGAAGTAGTACACCAAACAATAGAAAAATAAATAAATAAAGTAAATTTTTAAGTTAGAGGAAAGGCATCGAAAGAAGACTACGCTCAAGTATCAGACGAAAATCCGACTAACAGGCAATAGTGCAAGGAATAAAAATACAATAAGCAGCAAGTCACAAAGGAATGAGTTAGTTCCACAGACAAATATAAACAGAAATGTCATTTGTCGCTTAGTAACTTAGGAAGAAAACCTTTTGACTGCAATAGCAAATCTTCTAGACAAAGAGAAATTAACTAAGACCAGGCTAACAAGGAGTTTCGTAGATTTCTGTTTAGTCGCTTTTCTTCATTTGTTATGTGTTATGTTATGTAGCATAATTGTGATTATTTTATAAGCCTGAGTTACATCACTCTATTAGATCCAATAGATTGACAAATGTAGGTCATTTTTTCTTTGTGTTTTATTATTAAGAGCTTGAATCAAAACATCTCGTTGAACAAGATGGACGTCGTGTATTACTGAAACGTTCGCTAGCAAATGGAAATAAAAATGATAAATATATATTTGAAAATCCGCAATTATTAAAACAAGATAGTGATCTTGAATCGGCATTAAAAGAAATAGCAAGAGAATATCAGGGATTACAGGTAGTATAAAAGATTAAATTGTGACAGTAACATCTCATTGCCTTTTTATGTTTATAAAATTTTATTTTTTTATATATTTTTATATTTTATTATAGATTCAAACAAATAAACATATTAATCGTCGTGGGCTTGAAGACAATGGTCTATATGCTTGAATGAAATGCAATAAACAGCTTACTGTAACAGTAAGAAAAGTAAGAAATGATTCCCACTAGTTATGAATGTATTATGTTTAACAGAGATGAATGTGTCTGAGGCCATGACTCAAGTTCGAGTTGTATTTCTGAGATATTCGTTTTCTAAGTACTAATTGAGAGAAGTTAGATTTCCAAGCCATGTTATTTTATAACCTTTACTGATTTTTCATATCAAAGTTTATTTTTTTTCGTAGTAAACTACTTATTTCAATTTCTTGTTGTTTCTTATCGCTATTTTCGTTTACAAATGACTCTTTCCATTTCCGTCCTTTTTTTCAGTGACTTCATGATTAGTTCTAGCTCACGTAAAATTTGTATAGTTTGTTTTTGGTTTATTTCAATAATAGAACAGACAACCATGATATCGACCACTTTGTTTGTTTTATCGCAATTGTTAATCGAATTTTTTCTTATGCTAAAATTATTTATGCATTAGTTAATTTCATTTGTACTACAATTAAAACATTGAGTCCCAATAGTAAAAGACTTACCACCATAAAGAAAGGCAATTTGAGACAATTTTTGAGAAAAATTTGGGATTCAGAGGGTTAACTGGAAACAAGTTTTATATTTAATGAAATTATTTTTGTTTCTTGCATCGGTTTTTGATTTCTAACATTCAATGAGATATTCTTTATTTTTTTAGAGTAGTTGTGCTATAATCACAGAAAAATTTAGAATATCTCATTATATGCAGAGGTGGGCAAGTCTAAGTTATGACTCGGCTTGAACTTGCCCACCTCATTTTTTCTGACGGACCTGGACTTGGAGATTTTTTATCAAGTTTATTTGAAGGCCAAGAAGTTAAAATCTAATACATAATACAATAAACAATAACGGAATGAGTATATTTTGATACCTAATTTATTAATCTTTTTTCTGCCAAACATGCATTAATGTATGGATAAAATTTATTTATCCGTCATATATCCCATGTCAAAATTTCGAGAGCTTTTTTGCAGAAAACTGCAAAAATTGCGGTCCGTTGTTTTGCAAAAACCTGTGGTAAAATTTCCGTGTCTCACGTAACATCACACGCATGTCTTCTGCGTTTTTTTACAGGAACAAAACGTTTTGTGATAAAACGCAAGAAAAGATCATCGTTTCTCTTGCACAAAATATTACTCGTGTAGTTATCTTAAACCTTCATGTTTAATAGTATCAGGGACAGGCCCATCGAATCCGCCAATAGGTTACCCTCGCGGATCACCCCGCCCTCACCGGTCTCCTCGAAACTAAGAGGAGTCACTTAGAAATCAAGTGTGAATAGTGGAAAAGGGACCGTTGATATGGATATAAGGCTGCACAAATTTCGCTTTTTCAAATTATACACTAAATATGATGACTCACCGATGAGTCATTGCAACGAGTCATCATTTTCGTTGCGATGTTAAACCAAAAAATATTTTTGCAAAAATTGTATTGAAAAATCATACACAGTATACTGCAATTCTGCGATAAAAGACAAAAAACTATCGTTTTTCTGTTCGTTTTTGCGCGAAAAAATACAGCGCAGGAAAACGCATATACGAATAATGCGTTTTCTGGTGTTGCGTTAGTGTGACCAAAAAACGCACATTTCTGCAGAAATCGCGAAAAAAATTTGACATGAGATGATTATCACATACTGCCTAGTGCAGAACAAGGTATGAAACGCCTTGGATCTGCACTTGGATTTGACTTTGACTTGGAAATGGCTGGACTTGTCCACCTCTGATTATTGGTTATAAATCAAAAAAAATAATTCATTAAATATAAAACCTTCACTCAATCATGTTATGTGGCAAACTTCTTTTTAACTTATGTAAAAATTTAATTATAGACGTATCCATATAGATTGTTAAAACGTACTCCATGTATATATCTTTTTTGATATGTCATTTGTGCTGTCCTGTTTGCATGTAATTTATTCTCTTCTTTTGCATATTAACATACTATTGAGAGATATTTTAACATCATCGGATGAGTAAAGCTCCTCATCGATCAGAATAAATCTATTCCCGAGAATACTTCATTCTAAAAACCCGATGAATCGTCATCCAACAGGTTTTTGGGGGACCTGAAAAATTTCAACCATTTTCCTGAAAATTCTGGCAGAAAACTGAAGCATAGAACTAAAAAAATAATTGCAACTTCAATTACCGCCATTTATGAGACAGTTTTATATTGACTGTCAAGGTATGTGTTGATAAACTTTTATCGTTCGGTCTAGTATGATCTGTCAACACCTAATCTACGATGCAAAAGTAATTGCGGAAATGTCGGAGTCTGATTCTCCGGCTTGGTACATCGTAGAAAGTTCATTCTTTTTCTGGTTGAAAGAGCAAAGTCTGAACTTCAAAAAATATAGAAAACAAAATTTTTGGGATTGACTTTGAGGGAGAAAAAGCTTGATACCAAACGTCGTCAAAAAAGCTCTTGCAACTTTTTGTCCTCTTCAAATGTATCTCTCATATCAAACCTATTTTTTCCTATAACAGAATACGTTTGAAATTATATAACCATAGAAACTAGAATTGTTTTTATTACTCTTTCAAATGGGGTATGATAAATTATGCTTTGATCCACTTTTCGAGAACTTTGCAAGTTTTTCAGCAGTTTCAAAAAACAGGTAATTAGACTTAATTAATAATAATTAATCTTTCTCATGCAAATTAGTGCTTTCCATCAAAACTAAGACTTATAATGCGCTTTATTTACCCTTAAAGAATTACTGAAAAACATTCTAAATTAGTGAAGTTGATAGAGTTTTGCACCGGTAACCTCCTCATCTATTTGGTTTTCAAGAAAACATTTTTCTTCAAACTCTAGGAAAAAAATAAAGAAAAAATTATGTTGCAAGAGCTGTTTTAGAGACGTTTAGTATCGAACTTTTTTCTTCCTCAAAGTCAATTCCAAAAATTTTGTATATTTTTTGAAGTTCAGACTTTGCTCTTTCAACCAGAAAAAGAATGAACTTTCTACGATGTACCAAGCCGGAGAACCAGACTCCGACCTTTCCACAATTACTTTTGCATCGTAGGTTAGCTTTTTTCTAATTTCTCTGCATTTAACGAGTCCATATAAACCTTTGAACTATATTATTTTTTTTCGTTTAGCATCATTGTCGTAATTGTCGTAATATATTTTGTGATCAATGCTCATCGAAAACCACTCCATTAGCTGCAAGTAAAAAACCTGTAGGTGTATGTGATCAATGTTACAAAGACCTGACTTGATAAATATCAGTTTTATTATGACCACTTCTTTTGTGCCTCTTCTTTTTTTTGTAATCTACTTTCTTAGTGGAGAATCAACTTGGATACTCGATTTCATAGACTTAACAGTTGGTCAATACCGTATCGGAATTTATAATCGAAGATGGAAATCAGAGGTGTAAATTTAGATTCTGGAAACTACATATATTCTATTGGGCTAAAAGGGACATTAAAGTTCGTCAATATAAGTGCTCAGCTCATCGACACTTCAAACTTCTCTACGTTGGACTAAGAGAGATAGCCCGTGCATGTCCGTTAATATTAACTGTTTTTTATGAAGTCAAAATATGTCTTTTATGTTTCTCAGTTTAGTTCAACAGGAGCATTCATTTCTTATTATAATGCGACTCACTATTTTCGAAATAACTAGAGAGCGCAGAGAGGTAGAGACGTGTGATTTTTCTGCTCAATAGGGGAGATCGGGGGACGTTCTTTCGTATGCAAAACAAGTTTAAAACAATGGGTTGAAAACTTGAGAATATGGTTAATTTCGTGAATTATACGCTCGAGGAACTTGAAAAATCACGTTTTGAATGATCCGAAATGCTGAAAATCGGAGCTTTTTGTCATTGGACGATGGAACGAACAGGATCAAATATCAAACACCTAGTGATTAGAAGAAAACAAGAAGAGCAAATACTAAAAATTATTGATTTCAACAACTCACAGGTGTTAATGAAACAGCGAGTTTATGCTTATAACCGAGTTTTTAAAGCAATTATTATTGGATGGTACTAATAACTGAGATTTCTTTTTTAATAATCTCTGAAAATGAGGGATTAGGTACGCCCCAGCAAAACGCCTACTGTCACCGAAAGAGAAAAAATAGAGGTCCCGAACTTGCGTACTAGAGCAGAAAAGATGTTGCACTATCTATGTGTAAATTTAGAACAAAATTTTTATTTGGGATCCTTTTCACGGTACTGCCGGATATTTTGTCCGAGAATGTACATCACTTTGAACTGATAGTTTTCAAATCATTTAGGTCATTTGATAGTCCCGTGAAATTACTTTAGAATGGTGAAAAATGGACCTCTCTAGCTCATTTCGTTCAAATGTTATTCAAACAACATCCGAGCGCACTGCTTTTTGACGCCGACAGTCATTCAAAGATGGGGATTTCTTGTAGTATTATTGCTCGAATTTCAGGCAACTTCATGCATTCCACATAATTCTTGCTATAAGTAGTTTCTAGTCATTTTCAAATATTTTCTTGTCTTTAAGATGAAAGTGTGCCAGTAAGACAAAAATATTTTTATCTAACATGTGTATGTAATAGCAAAAAGTTAAAAATTAATTTTATCTATTTTTAAACTCGCTCTTCTCTTTTTATTTATTCTCTCAAATAATCCATATTTTAAAAAACGAAAGAAGTTTGTTTTCAAATAACAAGCAAAAAATGAACAAACAAAAACAAAAAAACGTAGCTTTAATAAGATTTAAAAATATATAAGAAAAAGAGAGGAAGAAAGAGTGAAACAAACAAGTGGAAGAAGAAAAAATAGTATAACAACAGAAATTTTTTCTTCATCCATGTTTGGAATGTGTTTATGTGTGTGTGTATGTGTGTGTGTGTGTGTGTATGTGAATGAAAAAATATATAGAAATACGTGTTTATTTTATGGCACAGAATAAAAATCATCAACTTCAATTTTTAACGCTCGCTGTGGACTTCTACCTCGCTTTGATGTTCCATCACTGTTGTTGCTAGTATTATTATTTAAATCATTATCTGCACGGTTTTGTGAACGTTGAGTACGTTTTTTATCTTGATCAAGTTCAATTTGTTTTTGTTTATCACGATCGTAGGCTGTTTCAAAATCGGCTATCGTCAATTTTTCACCTTCAAGAACTCCAATTGTACATAAATCTGTAATACTAATCGGTTGATTTCTCAAATTTACTTGAACAGTTGTACTACCTTTACCACTACCACCTTTTTTATTTTGATTTGGATTTGTTGATATAGGTGGATCAATTATTTTCCATTTGGCCGTATCAGGAAAATATCGAGCTAATGTCAATTTGAGATTACGATCATTCGAATTATTATTAGCTGATGATTGACGTGAGATAACAGGAGAATATTGCAGATTATTACGAATATATGATATTATTTTTCGTTGTACATGATCGTATAAATATTCATATTTAGCAATAATATTCTCTTTCAATGGCCAATGTAATTCGAGTAAATGCTCAAAATATTGATTATTATCATCGACTTTTGAGTAAACTAAGTTGATTAGAAGATCTTTTTTACCTAAATTTTCTGCATGTGGCAATATTTCAAATGCAGATGAGTCAAGATCACTGACTTTTTTTTGTCTAAAACAAGTAAAAAAGAAGACAAATAATAAATTGAATACAATGATCAATATGTATAATTTTTCCATAATCCGTCTTGTATCATCCACTCTATTTCCAAAGATAGTCTGATAGATACTAGACAAGGTATTATGACGTACTTGAGTGTTACTGCTGTTGGCTCATGAATAATAGATTTTGGTTGCCCATCTTCACCAATCTCGTACAATCGAATTCGTTCACAAGCTTTTGTATCATGCAACATTGTGGCAATACGTTCTCGAAGTACATGAAATTGTGCTGTATTTGGTAATTCAAAATTACCATCAATGGCTTCCAATTCATAGAATGGTTTTGTATGAACTGAAAAAAAAAACAAGTGAGATTTTATATGTTCTTACCGTATACGATATCGATTTCAACATATATGTGTCTCTCTGATATTCTTGATAATGTTTTTCAATAGAAAAATGGTGGAGACTTGCAGTTTAGACTGTTTGGTATGTGAAGAAAAAGAAGATTTGAAATAATCCATTATCATTCTCTAAAGTCAAGACAAGTTAATAACTCCGATAAATGGATTTGAACAACTGTCATCCACACATAAGTGTAAATCCATATTCTTGTTCTGTTCTAAACTCTGAAATTTTCGAATGTATTTAAGAGACTATCTTAAACATTTAAAAGTTTGAGAAGCTCATAGTGATTTTCTAGAAATATCCTAGAGTACATAACAAAGAAAAAGAATCTATGTGTGATTCTACAGCTCTCGAAAAAACTGATACCAATTTGGAACGACAACATATGGAGAGCTCGGGTTTACACCTATATGTAGATAGACAGTTATAGTTTAAATTCACTTATTACTGGAGTTATTAACTTGTCTTGACTTTAGAGAATGATATTGGATTATTTCAAATCTTCTTTTTCTTCACATACCAAACAGTCTAAACTGCAAGTCTTCACCATTTTTCTATTGAAAAACATTATCAACAATACCAAAATGACATTGTACGTTGAAATCGATAGTAGTTGAATACACGATGACATACTAGCAGCTTTTGGTGTGGTATATTTTCTAATAATTCTCGATAACTTCAATCGTACATGGTTTTTCGGTGGTATAGAGCCAGCCACTAATTGTAAACGTGATCCATGTTTAAGATTATTTGTTTGTAACGATTGTTCAAAATCATTTAATTTATCTCCTTCATCATTACACCATGTACTTGTACACAAATAATAGTCATCTTCAGCTACAAAAAGAATAAATTTATTTAGTTTCTTTATCAAAATTTCCATCTATTTCTAAAAATCTTACGATTTATTCTCAGTTTCATTTTTATTCGTTTTATTAACTCATTTAATTTGATATTTTGATTCACAACTATTTCCAGTGGGGACGGTTCAAAATCTGATTGAATAAATAATAGAAAATCTTCTTCATATAACGCTTGACCTGGTTTTAAACATAAATTTGTTTCATTTCTAAAATTAATTTGATCAACGGTTTGATTATCATACACTAAAACAATAGAAAATAAATAAAATAAAATAAAATGATTTTAAAAATCAAAATTATTTCTAGATGAATACAATCTGTTCTAGAATTTTGCAGATCGTGAATGGTAAAAGCAGAATATTTACTGATTTGAACTGAGAAAAATTAAAATTAAAATAAATTTCGAATGATTGAGAAATAACTTGATCTTTTTGCACTGTTACCGAAAATTGAAGCTATAACTAACACAGGTCTCTACATTAATAACTGCAATTCTCTGTCTTTTTATTTTTCCATTTCATGCTGAAACTATCAATATATTCTGAGAAATTAAGTGGAGTCAGTTTCCTCTAAAAGGACGGGAAACGGTTTCTGCTAGAAAATGGCCTAATATGATTCTGAGTGAAAATGATCAGAAATGCTTCCTTTTCTACTTCCCAACACTTCTGGCTTTCAAAAACTGCATCTGATCTCCTTGAAAAAATTATTTATCATTTTTGACAAAATACCGAATGGATAGGAAACGAGCAAAATTTACAAAAAAGCAGCAATGTCTTTGGGAGCTTCACTTGAATATAATGCAGCTCGATGAAAAACTGTTGTAGAGAACTCGGAGACGTCTAGTTTTCCTCAGAAATGTTTACTCTATTTAACTAAACTATTAACATAAATACCAATAGATGCTAGGATACCTAAAAGTAGGACTCTGGGCTTTTCCGAAATCCTGGTTTTCGGAGGAAATTTTGGAAATTGAGGAAATTTGAAGGAAATTTTTGTATACGCCTCATCGAATAGAAAAATGTTTCAGCTGCTCAAAGCATTCTTTAGCATTCTTTTAGCTGATGTGGTTGACAAAAAAGTTAAAAAAAGAAGAAGCTCAAACTTTTGTCACGTACGTTAAGTAACAATCATGATAGTTGTATAGTATTTAGTGTAGAAATGTATGAAGGCATATGTTTGCAAGAATATACTTTATCTTAGTTTAAAGCTCGTTATTTTCTGTATTTTCTTAACTGAAAATCATTACGTATCTCTGTATATTTACAGCATTGTACTACATTCACTGTTCTATCATAGATAGAAACCACTGTAATTAATTATTTTTATATTTTTATACTATGGGTAAAAATCGAGATATTTATCCAGTATTTAGCCAATAAATCTATGAGGGCAAACTTTTAAAACAAAATATTGTAGTTCATTTTGAAGTGCAGAAAATTCTCAATATTTCTGTGTATGGACTTTGCTCAAGATCTTTGAAATTGTAAGAAAAATTTGACAAACCAAGTGAACGGCTGTTGTTGAACTGGTGACGAAAAACGATAAGAAATAACTTTTTTAAGGATGAAATTTTCAAAAGTCAGAAGTGCTGAGAAGTGAAAAATGGAGCATTTCTGGTCATTTTCACTCAAAATCATATTGGACCATTTTCTAGCAGAAATTGTTTCCTCTACCAGTTCATTTCATACTCAATTTGTGATATTTATCACAGACATAATCAAAAATATACAAAAACTACATAATCATAACACTGATACTCACGTGGCAATAAAGCTTCGTCTGTATCATCATCAAGATGCAAACGACATTCATCAATATTAATGGATAAACCAAATGCCGATACAGCCACTAATTTTACTTCTCCTATGGACTGTAAGAGAAGACCATTAATCTGATCAAGAATGAAGTATAGAAATATATGTCAACTTACCGTATTACTTGCATAAGTTTGAGTCATTTTTTTATCATCATAAGCATTTCTTATTGTCAGACATAGTTTACTTGTGGTATTCGTTGATAATGCAGCATCTTTCCATTTACTTTGTGTACTGAAAAAACAATAATAACAGATACCTTGAAGTAATTTCGATCACTCGTGCACATATATACTCAAATTTATAGTATCATTTGTATTTTTAAAATCAAACAACCTCTTATTTAAAATGATATTTAAAATCGAAAATTGATCTGTTACTTACAAAGTTTGTCTATTATCAATACCAATTGTATCATTATCTCGTAAACCAATATCCCATATTGTATGACTTTCTTCAGCTTCTTTAAATTCTCTAAATTTTCGTCGTTCATTTTTTTCTTCTAAATTTAATTTTCCTAATCGAATTTGTCTTAATGTTTGTTGTTGTTTTTCATTTGTTTTCGGCGATGATAATGAATCATTTCCAATTTGATAATATTCATTAAATAATTGTTGTTTTAATTCTTTTATTGTAACACATTTTGGTATATAACGAAGAAAATCTTTTTTCAAAGATGTTGATGGTTGTTCATCGCTTAAGGCAAATACAACTTTTAACATAATTGGTTCATAATCTTCACCAAACAAAACACTTTTTAACATATCAACTTTTTCAAATACAATTATATTTCGATATGTGTATAAATCAGTTTTTCCTAATGTTGTATCATTAACACACACTGATAATTCACTAATACCATGAAATTGACCAGATTTTAATTTTTTAGCAACATAAAATGTACAAGATTGGCCAAATAAGCCCTAAATACAAACACACGAGGTTAATAAATTGAAAATATATTTTAATTATTCAGTCAAATATCAAATTTCAAAAACAAAATATTCTGATAAGTAAAAGTGATTTTTTGCACTCACACGGGCATTCCTTTACACATAAACATCTATTAGAAGTACTCATTTATTTTAAATTCCCACTGTAGTACACGTCATTTCAACGAAAAAAAACTCACTTCTAATGTTAACATAAAGTCGTTAACATTTTGACGTTTATCGAGTGTATGTTCACCAAACGGTGCAGGAAGAATGGATTCTTGATTATTCACATTTAATCTTCCTTCAATCACTTGAAACCATTCACCCGGATAGATTGTTGTTAAAAACTGATTTTGAATATTTTCATAAACTTCTCTATAAACAAGACATATACATATTATTAATCTTTGAACATAATGCGTTATAATAAATAAGTGATCTACGATTAGTTTTTACGTTCAATAATGTGTGTATTTAACTCACAACTACAAATTTTATGTGACAAAAATTGTAAAAAAACTTACCGTTGTTTAGCTAATACTCGATTTAATTCATCAATTTCATCTACAAGCCATTGTGGAATAAAGCATTGTGCTAAAAATACAACAATGAATATCGTCATACAGTGGTCAAAATTCTATATTTATTTCTTATACTTACAAATTCCATTTGTCTGATGATGATGATTATCTGAGATTTTTGTAGATTTTCGTCTTAAATTCATATTACGATAAAATAACATATAAGCACATTCATTTTGTGTAAAATGTTTTTCAATCATTTGTTTTGTCACACAAGTAACAGATGAATCGTCAAAACAAAACCAATGTTCGTCTTCGTTTTGATCATCTACTGGTGTTGTTGTATCCATCTGATTATCATCATCATCCCCATTATTCAATGGTTCATCAACATCCATAACATCTTCATCAATTGCTTCGTGTCGAATCCGTACAGATTGGTTATCCGATGTTAATTCAAATATTTTTGGATGATCTCTTAAAAACTGAAAATAAAAATAGAAAACAAGAACATATTAATGCATAAAATTATGTCTTTTTAAAAAGATTGCTCATTAATCTTAATTAATAATTAAATTTACATATGCTTGACTTTAAACTACTGTAAAACCAATCATCGAGACCATCTCCATGATCTGACGAGCGCTTCCGAGTGAGGAAGAAGGGTAATTCTTCTGCTCTAAAAAAGTTTCCGAATTATCTAACAAATTTTTTGCCTTTTTTCACTACTGAATGTCTGTCGAAAACTTTTGTTGTGGTCATTAATTTTCTTTCCCCAAGTTTAAATTCCCCAATCCACTAAAAAATAATAGAAAGTTCTGTCTGTGATCAATGATGATCTTTTTTTGACCCCAAACTGAACTAGCCATTGCTACCTCGTGTAAATGAGCCATACTGTGAAGCGACAAAGAACACATATGTGGATGGAAAATAGGCTTATAAAACAAGTAATGACTTGATAGAAGGGGTAAAGTGGCACCAAATAGAGTACATACCTTGATCATTTTAAGTTCGAAAAATTCAGCTAAGAAAATTCACATTATCTCAAGAAAAAGAAATAATAGCTAGCACTTCTGTAAGATAACCATCTCCGTATAGAAATCACTTTTGTTCGATTCAAAAGCTGATCATTGTAGAGAGATTTTACTGTAGCTATTGTTGAAAAAAAATCATTTCTATACCTTCAAAAATGTTCCATATTTACGATTTGATCGATTTGATCGCCAGGAATTATCTGTATTTGCCTTTAGTGTCTTTAAAATAAAACATAAATTATTATGATTAAAAATTCTGATACTTTTGTCAATCTTACCTCTAAAATTGCATTAGTTTTTGCAAATGGATTATTTTTATCACATATAGACGATATAATAGTTTTTATTGTTTCTATCATCATTCGTTTTTCTTCTTCATTTGATTCTTGTACAGGATCAATAACAATTATTCCTGACGCTTTTTTTGCACTTGCTGTACTACGTGTTATTCTCTCTTTCGGTGCTTGTTTATTCTATAGGAGTAAAACAAAAAAAAGTCTACTTATTCTCAAATAATTCAAAATGTACCATCAATAGTCTTACCAGTGGTCTTGTCCATGCACCAATATGATCAATATCTTTTATATAAGCATAATAATGTCCTGAATATGGTGTACCCTTATGAATAGCAACAGCAAATAATTCATAATTGGTATCTTTCAATGTATCCTAATTAAATAAAAAAATTATAATAAAGATTTTAAAACAAAAGTATATACATTTAACTGACGTACTTCACAATAACTTTTCAAATCAATTTCAAATGGAAAATCATAACGAGTCGTTTTTTTTATGCGTTTACCAGTTTTAAGATCCCATGTAAAACGTTGTAATGATAATGTTAAAATTGGTGGTAAACGACGTATTTTACACGTCTAAATAATTAAATATATAGGAGAAAAATAAAATAAAATAACATAATATTAAATTTTCTTCTTCACCTTTTCAGCATCACACAAAGATTGACATGTTGAACATCGATATTGATTATCACCCGTTAAATCTTCCGAAAATTGAAATGTATTTGCTAATGATTGTTCTAAATTTGAACAACCTTGAACAATTATTGGTAAATCATAATAATCTTCCTAAAAAAAAATATGATCGACAGAATAGTCTAACAATAGTTATCATAGATGCTTTTTGTCTTACCGACACTTTATGAGTTGATTTACATTTTTTACATTGTGTACAGTTAACAGTGGTTCCTCGATATAAATTTTTAATCAAATCACCTTCTTTTGTTCGAATTAATGAATCTTCAATTGCTTGAAATACGATCTTATTACATTCATGAATATCTTGATGTTGAAATGTTAGAACAGCCTACAAAAAAGAAAAGAAAACAGTATGAAAATTGTTATTTCTAATTTTTAGCATTAAATACACACGTTTTCAGCGGTCCAGCCAAAACTATCGGTTAATTTGGTTGATGAACATGCTTGTTCATTGAGTAAAAGTAATTTAGCAAATAAACGTTGTAATTCTACAGGAATTTTTCGAACCTTGACAAAAGAATGTTACAATTGATTACCGTTCAATATTTCTCAATTCTTTTTGTTACCAACCTTTGGCGAAAGATTTTGATTTGTTGTGGTTATTGCTGCTGTTGAAGATAGTGGTACAAAATTTAAATCTTCAGCTGATAATCTAAATAAGTTTTCTTTTTAAAATAGAAAAGAATATTATTAAATGTCAATTTAAATTTTTGATAAAAAAATATTATGATGGATTTACCACGAAATTCTGGTGTAAAACATAGTGTTTGAATCAATGCATTGAGATAACATGTAGCACCTTGATTGTATAATCCAGCTAAATTTGTTTGATTACGTGGTAGTGGAGGTTTTTCAACTGATTTTTGAGTTGTAGATGATGATGAACAATAATTTGTGGCTATACAAAAAAATAAAAAATAATTGTTAACAATTAACTATTTTAGAATAACTAACGTAACCTACCATCTCCGCCGCCACCATTCTCAGCAAATAAATTTTCTAACATTATCTCATCATTTTAATATTCAATAATCTGAAAAACAACGAACACAAACATAAAACATAGATTCACAAGTAGTTTTTGAGTGTCATCATTCATCTTCAATTTACTACTAAAGTAGAGAGATTAAAGTAGAAATGTTTAGTTCTAGTTGAATATTTATCTACTTTTAAGCGCTAACTAATTTTTTTTTATTTCATGAGCTCAAAGAACAAGCTATCTAAAATAATAATCATTTTAAAAAAATTATTAAAAACGTATTAAAAACTATACAATAATTTAATCTAGCAATATATCAAACGATTGACAAACTAACAAAATAAGATTGATTGCATAAAAAAAAAAGTAATAAAGATAGAGAACTGGACGGACATCAATACGAAAAAAGAAGTATAGATATTCTAAAAACAGAGACGAAAGAAAAACCAGTTTTCAAAACATACACCGAGTACTAATAGTAAATTACTATGGATTAAGCACTATTAGTTAATTAAATATAAAAAAAAAATGAATCAAAATCAATACAAAAAATTTATCTTGTTCTGAAAGATTAGTACTATCACTGACTAATTGAGCTGAAAAAGAAATAATTAGCAAAATACAAAAAAAACACATCATGTTTTTGTATCATGTAGCTTTTTCATTATCCAATTCTCCTTTGATATACTGCTGATATTGTTTTTCATTCATTAAACTTTTTTCAATATCTTTTATATTTTTATCATCTACTTTTGCTTGTGCTAACCAACCCTGTTCATATGGTGATTTATTAATTAAACTTGCTTCTTCTTTTAATTTTTCATTTATTTCAGTTATTTCACCATCAATTGGCATATAACAATCGGACACAGCTTTCACACTTTCCAATGTGGCAAATGAATCACTTTTTTTATATTTTGTACCAATTGTTGGCAGTTCACAATAGACAACTTCACCAAGTGCTTGTTGAGCATAGTCACTTATACCAATTCGAACTTCGTTCGAATTTTTATCTATTATGTTTAACCATTCATGTTTTTTTGTATAATAACGTTCAAAATCGGATGTTGATGTATTTTGTAAAACAGCTGATGATACGCTAAAGAAACGAGGGATTTGATTGTTCAACAATAACAAACGAGAACAATGACGAAGTGGAAAAATGAAAGACATCTGAAAAGAAATATAAAGAATGACATCAAAAAGTAAACACATTGGAGAAAAAGAAAAATTTATTATTATAGGTTATTTCATCAACATTCTTAAGTTTATAATTCAAATCAACGTTTAGTTTATGTTAATTGTCTTGTGTTATAGCATTGATTTAAGATTACTCTAGAGATGTGTCTTAAATCCATGCTTAATTTATGATCACGTTTCATGGAGTCACATCAAACTTATAAAAATAGAAAATCTAGTCGATCCATAAGATTTTGGATAAAACATCAAGAATTCAGCTAATCCTTAACTGAGATCAAGTCAAGACCTAAGTGCTCTCTTAAGTTTAAGGACTACTTCAGAATATTGAAGAAGCACACTTCTAACTGATTAAAATAATAAAAAAAGTACGCAATAATACCGATGTTTTTTTGTTATGTGTCACTTCGTGACTTAAATAAACAACAAACAAGAACAGAAAACAGACGACAAATGTAGAATATAACATTTACGCAAGTTTCAAACAAAAATGTCTGTCTTATGTGGTATATCAGTTGAGTGGACTTGCCCTATGAATTCGTAGGAGAGAGAAAGAATGATCGTTAGTTATTGACTTTTTACAAAAGAATAATCGGATAAACACGGATTGCATGTATAAATCCCGAACTGAATTATCGTGGAACTTGAATGACGTTTTCTAACGATTGCATAAGAACGGAAAAGAATCTTTCGGCCAATGCAAATAAGACATTCCACACGATTTACAAAACAACGACAACAGAGACATAAATAGCACCTTTTTCCTAAACCTACTACTTTCAAATTTGGCAGAAATGAAATAATGAAATTAAGTTTTCATTATCTTAGATTATTTTCATTTTTCTCATGTTAGCTGAGTCACAGAAGGAAGCTTATTGTTAGTCGTTAAAAGACTCATTTCGTGTTCTCCATTTTAGCGATTGCCGCAAGTTTCTTATAGGGTTTTCTATGTCGTATGTATTGGTTTGTCAAACTACTAATAGAAGAGAAGAGGTGTGTCTTTCAAAACTCAAGCAAAGAAAACAGTTGTATCCGATTTAGTTAGCCGTCGTAATAAAGAATTCTACAAGACCATTTAGACTAAACGTTTTCCTATTAGTCTATTTAGTCAGCGAACTGAAAAATTCAAACAAAGATGTCGTATATTTGAAAACTTTGAATAAATTCATGGTTTAGTCTATCTCTATATAGTTAAAATATCAAAATAGTCTTTTTAACTGTAAATTTACTCTAAGCTTATTACAGAAGAGTGTGATTTATCCGAATTTCTTAATTTTCTCCCTGCCATATTCGACCTCTACAATTTTTCTATTTACGGCAAATTTTTATTAAGCTATTTTTTTAGCCGTAAAATAATGGCTAAAAAATAAGATAATGACATTAATTCAAAAAAATTTACTAATTTCTCTTTAATGAGTTTGTTGCAGACTTTAATTAACTAAAACATTCTGTTACAACGAACTGTCATGTCCTTTTCCTTCAAACTGATTTTTCCTACTGATAGCGTTCTTGTGCAATACTCATTAGAGTAGCGTCACTATTTGAATTGTTCTTGCGTAATACCGCAACTAATGTATTTATAAAAGCGACTTTTTGTATACATTAGTATATTTTAGACAGGTCATTTTTAAGTCCGTGAGATACATCAAAAATGTCATCTACGTTTAAAGAACTACAGCTTTACACTGATAAAGAAGTTGATAATTGTTTACAAAGTGTTATTACACCATTAAAAGAACATGTGTATTTTCCCAGCGATTCATCTTCCGCAGGTAAATAAAATAAAAGATGTATTTTTTCTTTAAGATGTAAATTCGAATATTTTTCAATTTTCTAGGTCATTTATCGATCGCCTTACCGAATCTTTCTGTATCCGAAACATTAACGTGTAATACGTGTCAGACACAGCTAACTGATCGTGTTGAACAAGTAATAAATTTCAACTTATTTTAAGATAAAATATTTTCTTTACAATGCAGTATCAAATTGGAATTATTTATCTATTTTTAAATATTATTTTTTAGACTGTACATTATAAATCAGATTGGCATCGTTTTAACATTAAACAAAAACTTCGTGGTCAATCTATTATTTCATCAGAAAAATTTGAAGATATTGAAAGTAAATAATACATATTTACAATGATCAATTATTATTCTGACATTTATTTGAATTTCTTTTGAATAGAAGACTTATCAAGTATATCCGGAAGTGGGTCATCCAGCGATACAGACGAAAATTCTGATTCATATCATTCATGCGCAAGAAATAATCCAAAAATCATTTTTACATTGAGCGATGGACGATATATTTCCGTATATCGATGCTTGTTACATGGGAAAAAAGTAATTAATAGCAGATTTTTGATACGCATACAGTTATTTATCAACGATACTTTGTATCCATTTAGAATATACCACAAGAATCTGAACAATTAGTACAGAATGCCCAACAATTACCAAGAAAAATCTATTGGGCAATTATTATGTTAGCTGGAGGACATTTTGCCGCTGCCTTATTCGAACGAGATAAAATTATTCAACATAAAACATTTCATAAGTATGTTGTTAGAGCTAAACAAGGAACAGCTCAGGCATTACACGATAACAAAGGTGGAAAAGCAAAATCAGCTGGAGCCAATTTACGTCGACAAAACATGCTACATTTAAAACAAGTATGATTAAAAATAGAAATACATTTTACTTTTATTATAAAAAACTAAAGAATTATTTGATAACTCTCTGTTTTTTCATCGGTCATTATTTAAGTTTGTGATTTATTTTTAGAAAATACACGAATTGTTTACGACATGGAAAGAAAATATTGCTAAATGCAGTCATGTATTTATTCGTGCACCTAGTTTTAATCATCAACTAATATTGGGTGAGAAAGATGCTCCATTTTCAAATCACGATCCAAGGTGTGTAGTTTGTGCCGCTTTTTTGAAAACTTTTACATATCTGTAATAATATTAATATATTTTTTTTAAAGAATACGCTCAATTCCATTTTCAACCTTTCGACCAACATTTAACGAAATTAAACGAGTGTATAATCAATTAACACGTGTAGAAGTTTATCGTATGTATATTTAGTCTTGTTACCATCAAAATGATTACTATTTAAAAATATGTCTGTTTTGTTTAGCTCAAGATTTTCAGTTTGAAATAATGCTGAAACAACAACCAGTGCCTGTTGAAGAAGAAAAAACGACGAAGTTTACTTTATCATCATCGCGAAATAAAAATCAGAGTGAAAGTGACGGTAAGTACAATACACTACGTGAAGAAAATGAATGTGTCTTATTTTTGTTTGTTTTTCTTTTTCTTTTTGTAGATAGTGAAGATGATGATATTGAAAATACACCAATTGTACAGCAGAAAAAAGAAGAAGCACGGGCATGTCCGACTCGAAACGATGCTCAATTTAAACAAGTACCAAACAGTGAAAGAAAAACATTACGTAAGTTTGTGTCTATTTTCATAGTCTTATATCGAAGAATACAGCTTACTGACAATAGTAAACTTAACAAAAAAAGCGCGAGATCGATATGAGATGTTGCCTTCATTTTTGAAGAAGATGAGTATGTTATGCTCTTATTTTTTTTAAAAATTAGTAAACAATGAACACAGATGAATTTTTATGTTTAGTTGCTGATGATCTAAATACATTTAATGAATTATTTACAGCTGTTCGCTTAAATGATATTCAACGATTCGAAGATCTTCTATCACATTTGAAAACTTTAAAAACAATTCCATCATTGAATAACAAAGTCACCTATGAAGATGTGTTAAATTATCAAACAGCTGGAAGTTTCGATACTCTCGTTCATATTGCCTCTGAAAAAGGATATCAAAAAATTGTTTGGAAACTATTATTAGAAGGAGCAAATCCATCGTATAACAATTGTCGTGGAAAATATCCGTACAATCTAGCTAAAAATAAAGAAACAAAAGATACATTTCGAAGATTCAAACACGATTATCCTGATAAGTAAGTTAAACTTCAAAATAGATAAATATGTAAAATAGAGAATCGTTCCATGACTTGTTTCTATACAATTAAGAAATTATCGGCACTTCTTTCTGTATTATGAAGTTCTCCACACTTTATCAATCCATTCTGCAGTTAAAATATTTTATTTTCTCTACAAAAAAAAAAGATCGATATAAATTAACCTCCGATACTAAGATCAAGCATTTTTCGGGTATAAATTTTCCAATGCTTTATTTTTACATTTGATCATAGTAAAAATAGTTTTGTGTTGTAAAATAAAGACTTCTCTAGACAATTCTCTACCATCTAGTGTTCTGTGAGTGTAGCTAAGATGCACTAGTTACCACACCAAAAAGAGTGTGAATAATTCCCAATATACTATGACTTATTTCGTAAAATGTCATTTATAGACAACAAATTTCTATAGGCTCATAGATATACGTCTGAAAAGATCTTTGATATTTTAAGATTTGTTGCAATTTTTGTCCTAGTTTCTAAAATGATTCTGTTAATTGTATAAGGCTGGAGTCATCTGTCACAAATGACACTAGGTTTTGCTCACCGTTATAAATGAAGACATAGTAGTGCTTATTTCTATGTATCTAAATTAGATATGACTATGATCAAGGCCAAATTACCACAAGTATAAGTGCTGAAGTCATGGACAAACAACGGCAAACAGAACGTGAAAAACGGCGAAAAGCAAAAACTCTTAAAAAAGAAAAATTACGTAGTGATCAAGAACGAAAATTGCGTGAAGAAAAAGAAGAAAATGAACGAAAACAGTTTGTATCCTTAACAGATGCTGAAAAGAAAACATTAGCTGTGCGACAAAATTTTGAAAACAAATCATCTCCCCAAACAATCACCACAACAACTGAGCCAAATCTAATTCATTTGAGTCGATGTTGGCAATGTGGCACAGTGATTTCGAAAGACCCATTTGAGTATTATGATTATAAATTTTGTTCTATACAATGTTTAAAAGCGCACAGGACTAAAAGTAAAACGAAGGTTTAAAGAAAACTTGTTATCTTGTTTTTTTATTTATTTTTATTTAAAATAAGCTATTTTTTTACCTACTTTTAGAACTAAAACTTCTCTAAGAGTTTTTAAGGAGGCAGTGTTTTTTATTTAGTATTGCTAAGGCTGATGTATCTCTTACCAATTGAATCTGACATCAGGTCAATCAAATTGATTTTTTGCAATGGTTTAACGCAGTAGCAATTTTAGTTGTCATTGAAAGCTAAAAAAGATAATGAAATATTGGTTTAACCAATTTTTAAATTTTGATTTTCATTATAGAGAAAACGGTACTTCTTCGACTGTCTCGGATGAACTATTTCGAACATTCGATTAGAAGTGGCTGCCGAGAAGCTCTGCAGAGAGTATTCAAAAATTGCTTAATTCAAGCTTTAGATTGAATATCTTTCTTTTTTTCAAAGAACCAATCCGGTTTTTGCAGTTCTATAAGTCTTAAACATCTATAATTATAGAAAAACGATTTGATTTTGATCTTTTTAGTTATATCTTTTTCACACAGATTACATAACACAAGATATTTAAGTTTTTTGACAATTTAGTTTTGTAGGGCAAACATTTTTCTAGAGAATGAGACGTCGCAGAACAAACTTCTTATCTGTCTTCTTTTTTCCGTAATCGCTTCTCGACAAAAAGCCATAAACCGGTACCGATATTAATACCGGTCGTGAACATTTTGAATCTCACTGCTAAATCCAAAAAAGAAGTACTGTGAGGTAATGTTTACAAACCCAGTAGTTAAAAGAATTCTAGAAGATCATTTGCTTTATAAAAAACTTTCTGTGAAAGAGCAGAGAATTGCAACCGATAAATATCGGTGCACGTCTAATTAAACATGAGTTTCAGAAAAATCTTACAATCAGATTTCTGAATTCTATCGGAAACTTGCAAAAACATTTCTGCACAAGAAATGAGATGTTTTTATTATCTAGACCTTTAAGACCAGCAAAACAACAGGAAAATAACAAAAATATGCCATCGGTACTTTTCGTAAACAGAGTGCAGTTAATGAATCACTGATTGACGTTGAAAAGGCGACAGGCAGCTACTATATCATTTATTCTATTCGACTAAAATGTGAACAGAAAGCGTCACGAAGAGTTTGAGACAAGAGAAAGGGAAAATGCTTTGAAAAAAAATTTGTTTAGTAATTCGTGATGTTTTGTTTTTTGACTTGCTAGTTTTAAAATAGGCGTAAATGCTCCAAAATCGGACTAAATTTGTCGAAAATTGAAATTAAATTTTATTCGTCCAACATCGTTCTATCGCATTACGTTACACGATATTGGAGTTATAAGATATTGCGTTTTCAGAACACTTTCAAGTGTCTTCCGCAAAATTTCAATAATTTTGTCAATATCAAATGAAAAGCTTTCATTATAATGCTTAGATCATGTTTTTAGAAATATTGAGAACACAGCTAATTAGTTACAAATATCAGTAGTAAAAAACCCATTATAATGTATATCTAAAGTCTGGATGATGATCGCCCGCTAATTCCACTCCACCATAATATTGGATTTCTTTGATTTTTTGTTCATCATTCAAATGTGATCTACGACGATTCTCATACATAAATACTAGCCGTAATAGAATAGCCAATATTGCTTGTATACCAACACATGATAGAGAAATAGCATTACCCATATAATATTTTGGTTTTGTTGAACTCGGATAAATTTGACTACTGATTACTCCTCCAATAGTACCAAAGCTTACAATTGCTGCTCCAGCTACAGCTCGACGTGTTAAGCCGGCACTAGAAAAAAGAAAAATCAATGACAGATTTGTTTAATTGAAACTACATTTACTTACAAGTTGTTATTGAACCATACAATTTTCAATAATACATTGGCGTAAACACCAGCTGTCACAAGTATGGCACCGAAATAGAGTATAAACACTTGTTGACGATTAACAAATATCAGTATTAGAAATCCACACATTGAGATGACATTAATAAATACCATATGAAGTGATCGTTCAACAAAACTAAAATAGAATAAGCTAAATATTATAGATAATGAATAGATCAATACGTACTGATCAGAACTAAATGAGAGAAGAATTGTGGTAATAAATGCGACACAATATGGTGGTATAGTCATTAGTTGTGTTTTTATATCATCCCATTTACCCATTCCAGAAATAATTGATGGAAGAAATAATGTAATACTTTGTAATGCGACTGATCCCGTGATATAAATAACCATATACACATATGTCTTCCAATCTTTAAATACGGAAAGAACTTGTGCCCAAGAAAATGAACGATCTCCCGCTGCTCCCGCATCTTTTGCTAAACGATTTATTTCGAATGATCGTTCTTCTTCATTCAAGAAACGACACTGTTCAGGTGAATCTGGGAGAAAAATCCAACAGAAAACAGCAAGAAGAATCGTGGGTACTCCTTCAATCTAAGCAAAAAAACAACAACAACAGATTATTATCATATTTTTCAACAGATCTGATGTTTATATTGTTAGTTTCTAAAAATAATTTACAATAACTTACAATAAAGATCAATTGCCAATGAGATAAAGGACTTTTTATTTGCATAATTCCGTATGCAATTAGTCCACTAAATAAGCCTGCCAATGATGAAAAACTCCAAAAAAGTCCTAATCGTACAGCTTGCTCCTTTCGTTTATACCATAATGACATATAATAAATAATTCCTGGAAATAGTCCAGCTTCAAAAACACCAAGTAAAAATCGACAAATAATTAGTCCAACGAAACTTTTTATTGCTGCCATACATACAGCAACAATACCTAGAAACAAAACATTTTTAGTATTTAATAATCAAACATTGAAGAAGTCAAACATAAATACTAACCCCATGCAAGCATAATTATTGCAATCCATTTTGATGCTCTCCATCGGCGAAGAATCAAATTCGATGGTACTTCGCAAAGAATATAGCCAATAAAAAATATTGAAAGACTCCTAAAAAAAAATAACAATACATAATAATATCAATTACCATACGTAAAAAAGTTTTTTTTTTTTTGTTTTCAAATTTTTATAATATTTAGTGATGAAATGAAACTTACGTTTAGAATAGTTAGAAAAATTATGCTATTTATGTTTGAAAACTACCTATGTTAATCTACTGCTTTAATTTACCATTGATATTGTATGTTTGTTAAATGAGTATCCTCTTCTATACCCGCCAGTCTAGCATTTGCTATATTCGATCGATCAAGATATGATAGTAGATAAATGATACTAGACAAATAAAAACAAACAATGTAACAAGTAAAAAGAATAGTTTAATATTATCTATGAATTACCATAATATAGGCAATAAAGTGAAATCTAATTTTCGAAGTACCAAATGTTTAATTCTACTTTTTTCGAATGTTGAACGTTGTTTATCTTTAAGTTCGAAAATCGGCATGTTCTCTTTTACACGATAAAGTTAAACAAGTCTACTGTCGCATTATTCTGAGAAGACAAACAGTAGAAACAGTATCGACTATTTATGATATTTTAATTTTCTAATCGTTTACATATACTTACAAAAGAGAAGACAAAAATGTATAGATTCTCGGTTGATACGATCAATTTTGTGCTGAAAAAATAAGTTATCACGTCGAGTGAGTAGACAGACTATAGAAGAAAGACATATATATACATATATCTACTTCAATAGTAACAATAAATTATGCGCGACTCAACTTTAGAACAGTTCTTAAGAAGTACAAGTGTGTTTTGGTAGTGCGAACAAAATTAATTTCATTCATATGCAAACACTTTGATTAATGGATGCATCAGGACTAAAAACACTCGGGCATAAAAATAGAAAAGAGAAGAATTCGTTTACCTCCTGTGAAAGACGAAGAAAACTAAAGACTAAGAATGATTTCGAATAACATTACTTTCATATAGAATCAGGACGGACAAAAGCGACTTTTAAGATATTCATGATTCGAATTTTCTACGTAGTACAATATTTTTCAACGCAGTACGTGTTAAACAACCGCGTTTTTCGGCTTTTCTTCTTAAAAATGTTTTTGAACAAAAACGACTGCATTTGAAATTATCAGTGGAAAAAATATCACTTTGAGCTATATTTGTGAATGTCTATTATATCAAGTGTTAGTTTTATTACTAAACAGCATAAGATACTACAGCTTAAACCTGAAATAAGCCTTTAAAATCAATTAAGTTTGCTAAAATAATGTACAGTGTCTTTAAGCATGGGTATAAATGATTTAACGAAAAACAAAGAACGAAACAAATATTGTCACTAAAATGTTATTATCCTCAGCTCTCTCCCTCTCTTTCTCTTGATACCTAAAAGGATTATTGCAACTTTGCCAAAATACTGTGTAAATCCACTGCAGTAGCAACTTCAATGTCAGCAACAAATGCCTGATTGTATGATGGATTTTATACGAAGTTTTTAAAAGGTCATTAAAGGATAAAAAATTTGAATATTTCTGCCAATTCTTAACTGATTCAACTGTTTTTTATTATGTGTTAGAAAAATATTCTATAGTACTCCATAGTATCAGCCTTCATTTGGTTCTTAAGTATCATACTAGGTAATCATTTTAAATTCTGTGTGGAATGAAGCCTTCTTGTATGCTGATCTGCCAACAAGTTTCTTTGAGCGAATGGTTTGCGACACCCAAAGCGTTTATATCCATTAAAGACGTTTTGATATTGATTCTAATGCGTGAAAGTACTTCTCTCAGAATCATTTACTTTTTTTCTTGTTGTCTGTCGTTGTTGAAGAGCAAACAACAGAATGCGTTTTATGCTTTTCAACGATAAAGGTATGCGTCTAAACGGTCTCATAAACAATTGTATGATGTTGAAAGTGTCAAATCGTCAGTTAGTTTTAAGACGTTGAAGAAAAGATTTTTTGTTGGATAGGATCTTCGTAGCTTATGACACATTATATGTAAACAAGGTAGAATCTGAGAAATTTACGCGATTTTTTTTCTTTAAAATCGTAAGAATTCAAGTGGTCAGGAACTCAGAAATTTATTACATTACAGCCAAAAAAGATGCCATATCATCTTCGTATACAAAAAATCTATTGTCTCATTAGATTTAAATTAAGCTCAGTTCTATTCTGAACTGCGGTTAAGGGTCTCCATCATAGAGCTTCTTCTGGACAGTATACTTCCGATCGAAGCCAATTGTCAGAAAACACAGGCATCGATGCTACTAAGGAACAGTATGCATTTTTCTATAGAGCAGGCGGACGTATGCCATCGAAGTGGTACGAAGGGCTATAAACGCTTTTTTTTGTAGGTTTTTGAATATACTCTATCCAATGGTGAGATTTCCAGAGCACAAAAATAATTTCCTAGGAGTTTTCCAGAGATCCGGACTAGAGAAAACCTACAAGAAATATTTCTGCATTTCGAAAATCTCACCATTGGATAGAGCATATTCGAGAATCTATAAAAAAAGTGTATATCTTCGTATGATTGCTAAAACAAATATCCAGATTCTCAGGCACAATTCTCAGGCGGGAAGGTTTTCAACTCTTTAATCCAGTTTCTGCAGTAAAATTAAGAAGCTATACATCAGTGATGTAGTTGTTTGCGCTGATTCCGAATATGTCATTTATATTGAATGAAAATGTTTCTGAACTGAGAAAAATGGAAAATACCCAGAATACTAATGGTTTTTGGAAAACCTGCTGTATGTCTTAGAAACATTTGTGCATTTTTGGGCATTACCCATATATACGAGGCATATAGAGGAACACTTTGGCAACGTTTGAACGAGTTTCAAACTAGGAGCGCGGAGGAGGGAGCGCTCATTTTACCGAAACTAGCAGTTGGGAAACCACTTAGGAAACCACTTTTTGTCAATAATCTCCAACTCAAACTGAAAATTTTTTTTACTGATATATACTAACTGATGTAGAGGTTTAGAATTTCCATTGCATTTGCTTACTACATTGGTCATTTTTGTGCAAAATAAAGTTTCCTGCCAATGACATTATTTTAAGGCTAGTTTTAAATTAGATGATTTTCCACCCCACTTGAACTTTGTAGCAAAAAAGTTTAATGCCATTAAATAGCCTATAGTTCGAAGTATATGTAGCACTATTTGAATCGTTTAAAAGTCGGTTTACACTTTTCTATCTAATGTCCGTCTGGACCGGTGTTTTCGATAGTTTTGGTGGAGGGTGGCGAGCAAGGGGGAAAAAACAACACTACACTACACTTTTTCCACTACAGTAGTGACTTTGTAGTGGTCTTGTAGTGGCCTCGTAGTGGCTTTGTAGTGGCCTTGCAGTGACTTAATTTTTACCGTAGCGGCTAAACTTTAATAGCTGACTAGGTCAGCCACACACACACACACGCTTGTTTGTTACTGATACAACGTTTCTCTCTTAGTTTTACTTAAAGATACACTAGGATTTCTCAAGTCACTCGTGCATCCCTTGAAAAAGATGAATTATCTGTCTGTTATACA